GAGTCACCATCCCTGGCGATATTCAAAAATCGAGTGGACAGGGAACTTCAGGACATGGTTTAGTGGGCATGGTTAATGGTTGGACTCAATGATCTTGAAGGTCTTTTCCAACCTAAATGATTCTATGATTCTATGAAGTCTGGGATCTGGCAAAGTCACTGTATTCCCAGCCACACATTGGCATAAAGGAGCTTGAGATGTTCCAATGTTTCTGACCTTTGGTGTTTGACAGGTGGGTTTCAGAAGCGCTTGCTTGATTTAGGAAACCTGTTCCCCACGGTCTCTTAATTCCCAGTATGATGTTGAACATCATGAGGAGACCTGCAGACAGCATCTCCAGAAGAAAGAGAGACAAGTAGAAAACTGGAGTAATTTGTGGTTTATTTTGAATCTCTAAAAAGATCAGAAGGTTTTTCTCAGAAAACCTCTAACAGAGACTTTTTCTGCACAAACTGTGCTTTCCCTCTTAACTAAAGAGATAAGGCAGAGGTGATAACAGCTAAACCCTTTCCTCTTACAGCCATTCGTAGATGATCAGGAACTAGTTTTCCACTTCAGCGTGTTACTGGTATGACTCTTACTTGCTCCAGGCTTTCAAAAAACAAGTGGTAATTCTGAGCTCTTTGAATGCCATGGAAAACATCAGTACACCGTTGCTCAGCTTGTCACTGTTGGGTTTCCTTTACCTGAGAGGTGATTAACTGTTCCTTTGAACATGCTGGTCCTTCCAGCAGTAAGGAATATCACTTGGTCACTTTTCAGACTTCTTGCTCAATTAAGAAGTTAGGTAGGTAGAGAAGATGATGGCTGCACCGTTGGCAAGGCAGCATAAAAACAGAGATGTGAACAAGAAGCTCTCAAGTCTCCTCGAGAAAGCAGAGCTTTGGCATCAGCTCTGGAGAAGTCAGAACACGTTTGCCCAGCTCAGAGAAAGGGGAACTTAATTAGGCCATTATCAGATACTTAATTCTGATACAGTGTTTCCTGCATGGGAGCTTCCTTCAGGTATTGATGGCAGAGGAGTGCAGTTCACTCAGCTCTTTTTTTATTTTATTTAATTTTTTTTTTTCTAGACACTGTCATGGGCACAACTGCCAGGAGGTGGTCTGTTCTCTCTGCAGACAGCCCTACCAGTGTTTGCCTTGCAGGTCTTCCCTCCTGTGCAAAGACTTCTTGTAGCTTTTTTTTTTCCAGGTGGTTTGCCTTCTCTGCCTCATGTTGGTCTTTCAGGTGGCAGGTTCCCATGTGATAAGAATATTTTTCTTGGGAGGACTTTGTCCCACCCAGGAAAAACCGTACTCACTCAAGGCATCTTGCGGTCTTTGACCAGCAGAGGGATCCCAAGCCCTGCAAGAAAGGGAAGAATCCTATGCCATAGCTCTGAAGCAAATTTTGAAAAATTATGGGCAAGGAAACAGCGTTTAAAGGTTTTAAGTTGGTTCCTATCAGCACTTGCAGTTTACTAACTATATGATGAATCATTACCTATTCCTCATATACCTGTTACTGGCTAACTCAGCGGCTGTCTTAAATATGGGTGAAAATCTTTAGGGCATTTGTGAAAGCACAGGATTTTTTGAAGTATTTATTTATTTATTGTTTTTAATTTATTGTTATTTACCTGTATTTAATAGTGATTTTTATGGCTTTTATACCCAAACTTTTTATACTTGCTTCTTGCTTCCTTTTTCTTATCTAATTTCATCTTAATTCTGTCCCCCACCCCCAGTATGCTTCTTTCAAATCAATCTTTCACACAGCAGCAGGATAGGTGAAAAAAACCCGAGGATGGAGGATAAGGTAATTAGAAACCGCAAATTAGCAAAAAGCTGCAAGTGGTGGGATTAACATTTGTCTGTTTTAGACAGTTTCAATGCAGAGCAAGGAACAGAAGTTGTTACAGTCTTTTCTTAGCTGAACTCTATAGCTGTTCCTAACTTAATGTAATGGTGCCATGCTAAGGAATGATGCTTGAACATGTCCCCATATAAATTATCTTGTGGGCAGTTGATTTAGCTTAGTTGAGAACACTTCCCAGCTGAACTAATGTCAGAAACCCATCTCGGTGGAAAAGGAGTATATAGAAGTAAAATGGCATGCACATGTTGTAAATGAATCCCCTGGCCACTTTATTTCATCTCGTGGAACGCCCTTGTTTTTATGACTTGCAGGAGGGCTCACAAATGGGAGTGGCCGTTACATCTCTGCTGCTCCTGGAGCTGAAGCCAAGTACCGCAGTGCAAGCAGTGCCTCCAGCCTCTTCAGCCCCAGCAGTACGCTCTTCCCTTCATCTCGCTTGCGCTATGGGATGTCTGATGTTATGCCCTCTGGCCGAAGCAGGCTGCTTGAAGACTTTCGCAATAACCGGTACCCTAATTTACAGCTGAGGGAGATTGCTGGGCACATCATGGAGTTCTCCCAAGATCAGCATGGTTCCAGGTGGGATTAAAAACCTTGTGCTATGGGAAGCTCTTAGGACACCATCATTTGCAATTTGCATCACATCCCGAAGCAAAGAGGCAGAACAGGGAAAAGGAGGTGTGAAAAGACAAGTAGTGTAACACTCTGACCCTTCATTTTAAAGATTGTTTGGGTACAAATGCTGATAGCAGGAGTTCCTCCTCTAAAGAAGAGCTTGTTTGCTTTGTAATTTGCTTGCTAGTCCCACTGGTGTAGCTTTAATGCATTTTAAAGAGCTGTCTGGACACGAGACCTTGCTGTATTACTCTATTGAGATCTGCTTTGGTTGGCATGAGGAGATTTTTGGGGTGCTGACAATGATGTGTGGCCACGGACCTCATGGCTGTGACCACCCCGAGGTTTCAGATTGCTGGATAGGGCACCTGTGTTTTAAAGATTTGTTTTGCAAGAGCTTAGTATATGAGGCTTTGGAAAGGATTTGTATTAACAAATGTGTTGAGGGCATATGTGCCAGCGACATCACACCAGTCCTATTTTTCAGGTTTATTCAGCTGAAACTGGAGCGTGCTACCCCAGCAGAACGTCAGCTTGTGTTCAACGAGATCCTCCAGGCAGCTTATCAGTTGATGGTCGATGTATTTGGAAATTACGTCATCCAGAAGTTCTTTGAAGTAAGTCTGCATTCCCCTGCAAGTCTACTCGGATGTCTGCTGTCCTGAGGTATTGGACAAGCTTGTAGAAACCCTGGTATATGGCTAAAACGGTGGATATCTGTCAACACTGATGTCATCTCCTCCCCACAGGCTGTTGCATCATTCCTGTTGGGGTGACTGAGGTGTGGGACTCATAAAGATTCACCTGAAAAGTAACACTTTGCTTTGAGGTGCAAAAGGTGTAGGAATAAATAGCAGCATATCCAGGAGATGTAGGTCCAACAAGACTTTTCAAGGATACTGTGCTGAGCTGCCAGAGAAACTTTTCCAGTGAACAGCATCTGCTGGAAGAAAGTGTTGTTTTTTCATACCAGGAGGTTGGGCAAACACCCATGTCTCCTTCTTGAAACTGGTCTGTTCCTTCTCCACCAAGCCTTTGTGGTTCTTCTGTCCAGTGATTTTTATATCAACCCTGTCAAGGGTTAGTGAACTGGCACATGTCACCCTGGTGGCTCCAGCACCTTTGACTCTGGAGTTAGTTTCACATGTCAGGCACGTCTGAGACACAGAACAGACATCTGGCTTGTGTCTGTTCACATCCATTGAGGTGTGGTTGGTATTTTCTTTTCAGTAGGCAGAGTGTTTCTTGTTTAACAGTTTGGTGTGACAGCGTGGGAGGGCTGCTGTGCTGCTTGGCCACCTGAGGGTTTTGTGCTTGTAGTGAATGGTTTTCATCTTCCCAGTTTGGCAGCCTGGAACAGAAGTTAGCCTTGGCAGAACGTATCCGTGGGCATGTTTTGTCCCTGGCTCTGCAGATGTACGGCTGTAGGGTGATCCAGAAGGCCCTTGAGTTTATTCCCCCAGACCAGCAGGTAATTGTAAGTTTCAATTTTAACTTTCTTCTTGATGTTTAACGTTCCTTGCCGTTTGGTGACCTGAACTGCGACCTTCTGTTCCTCTTGTGGCTGGTGTTCTTTTGGTTTGGTTTATGGCATGTTTGTTACATTTCATGTGCATGATAAAAGTGCGTGATGCTGTTCTTGGGTCTCGTTGTCATCTCCTTGTTCCACTTAACTGGTATTGGTGTTGGTTCTCTGTTAATTCCCCGAAATCAGATTATGTATGTAGGGGAAACTGAGAATGATGGTGAATTAGAAGACATTTTTAAATCCCTTGAAAGAAGCAGAGCCAGAGTTTTGCCTTTAACGTTCACTGAGATACCACTGCTTTGATATGTGGGTCAATATTCTGCTTTCCTGCAGTGAGATGTATGAGGAGCTCCTAGTTCCTGTTGAGCTAGGCCTGGCATTGGAGAGATGTGGATGATAGCCAGAGTGCCACTCAAAGCTCATTAATAAAGCAGTTCCTCTAGGGTTTTATGAACAATGAATTAAGATGGAAAATACGCTCAGCAAGCTAACTAATAAAGGTGTTAGGAATCATAATACAAGAAACTCAATGTAGGTTATTAAATTAAAAAGCTGAAAGAGGCTTTAGGAATGCTCATTCCCTTTAGGTTGAGCCTGAGCTAAGCTGTTGCCTTAGTGTGTTAGCAGGGTGGTGCCCGAGCTCCCGCACTGCTGGTCCGAGGATTTACTAATTGTCTTCCTCCAGAATGGTATTTTTGAGTACTCTGTGCTCCTGAAATGCCTGGGTTTGTATCAGTTGCAAAACTGAACTCATCCAGTTTCGTAGTATCGTTAAATTCCCCAAAACTGTCATTCTCTGTTTTCTGACTGTGAAGCTTTTAGCCTGCACGTGTGGTACATTAGTCATATCTAAACTTTATCTGCTCGGATTCCTTAATTATCATGCAGTATTACCTTGCCTATGTAAAATACTAGCAAGTTCTCATCCCAGTGCTGACCCCATTTTAGCAACATATGAAGCTGATACTGGAAAAGTTAGTGAAGTTTGGGAATTTCAGATTTCTTTCTCTTTGAGGGGAGCAGAGGAGGAAATGGGGGATGCCTAGTTAAGTTGTGGATCAGTAAAATTTCTTAAATTTGCATACTTCTAAGAGGACACATGTTTAATGAAAGGAGTGCTTTGTTTTAATTTCGTAACAGTATTTTTCTTGGTGGTTTCTGTAGCACAGCAAGCTTCATCTCAGCACTTGGCCACTGGAAAACTTCCAGTTTGAAATACATTGGTGCATCCTTCATACCTTTCATATTCTTGACCACATTTAGCAATGAAAACTTTGCATTTATCAGCCATGAATCCTGGTGGTGCTTTCTGTTTGTCCTTCTCTCCTCCTAATAGAATGAGATGGTACGGGAGTTGGATGGCCATGTCCTGAAGTGCGTGAAAGACCAGAATGGTAATCATGTGGTGCAGAAGTGTATTGAGTGTGTGCAGCCTCAGTCCCTGCAGTTTATCATTGATGCATTTAAGGGACAGGTAAGTCCTTGACCAAGATACTGACTCATTCTTTATGTTCTTATATGTTGCTCTGAATAGCATGAGAGTGGCTGTAACTTCTTCAACTTTTTTGAATTTTAAATTTTAGCAAGCATCAGTTGAAAGGTCTGTGCAGCAGCATTAGGGAGCCTAGAAACTCTTTGGTCATATCTTTTACCATTTCTGTGCAGGTATATCACAGTAAAGCTTCCTTGCGAAAATCTGTTTTCCTGGAACATCAAGTATTTTTTGACTGATGGAGGGGAAAACAAGTCTCTCGCTAGTCTATCTTCATAGTAAAGGTGGTGAGCAGAGTTTTGTGATGGGTATAGTAAACTTTCATTATGATCCCTGTCTGTGAGGATGGCTTAGAGGACTGCTGTTTCCCAAAGGTCTCAGACCAGGGGTAAACCATGAGTTTAATCTAGAAAAGGGCAGTTACTTGTGCTTCATTCTCCTAGTTTTTTTCTTGGTATCTTCTCCTGAACTGATGTCCTGGATATTAATTGTGTAGCTGGCTTTATTCTGCCAGCATGTCTTATTCTGCGTGTAGTCAGCTTGTCTTCCATTACAAAAGCACTGGTTTGGGCGTTTCCAACTTCAACTTAATTGGCTTTGGAGGGGAACTTTGAAGCATTGAGGGATTTGCCACAGGGGTGTGAGGATAGCCTGGGGTTATTATAGCAGGAACCAGGCTTCATTAGTTTGGCTGCTCCTGGAACAGCTGTGAAAGTGGGGCTTTGTTTGGCTATGTCAAAACAAGCAGGATTCTAGCTGGCCAAGAAACTGGCTCAGCAGATTTGCTGGTTAGAGTTTAGCTTTGGACCTTCCACTAGGGAGTTAGGCAAGGCAGAAATACCTCTGGGAACTTCGTTGATGGCACTGACATTTCTTTGACCAGCTGTCCCAGTTTCATCAACTTTCATATGGAAGATTACACTTACTGCTTCAAGACTATTTTTCGGCAGTTAATTGTACTTCAAGTCCTGTTTTCCTGCACAGTTTACTCAATAGTTATTAAAATTTTGTAGACTGTCAATTTAACTTCAGTGCTTGGATTTGCTACTTTTGTTAATTTTAAGCAACCAAATAGGACTTTGTGCTTTAGACAGAAAACTGTGCAGCACTAATAAAATGTGTCATGTTCTTACCAACAGATTTGGTAATCCGTTAGAAATGAGAAAGAAGGTTCTTTGTTGTCACTTCTCCTAAGCACAGTTAAGGCTTTTAAACAAATCCAAATAGTTGAGGAAAATCCTTTGCTGAGCACTTTTAACCTTTCTGGTTCATACCATTTCTTACATAGCTTAAAATACGTAGCTGGCAAACAGTATGCTGGATTTATTCTTCTGAAACAGTGTTTTAACACAGCTTCTAATAATGATTGGTTGTCCCCGTGTTCTTTTTATTAATCAAGAGGCTTTACCATTTGTTTTCCTGTTTCATGAATGGGGAAGTTGAAGCACAGGGTAGGGTTGTGATGTGCCTGTGATCACCCAGTTAGTCCTGTGGCAGTGGGGAACAGATGTTTCCAGTTTCAGTTTATGCTATCTGGAGCTGCCCTGCTGCAAGCTGGCATTACCTACCATGCCTGTGAAAAAAACCGCCATGTGTTTATTTAATTCCGAAAGGTTTCTAGGAATAACAAAGACTAACAGATGTGTTGCTGCCTGTGCTTGCCTGTCTTTGTTGAACGCAGGTTTTTGCATTGTCTACACATCCATATGGCTGTCGTGTAATCCAGAGGATCCTCGAGCACTGTCTTCCTGAGCAGACCCTTCCCATCTTGGAGGAACTTCACCAACACACCGAGCAGCTTGTTCAGGTCAGTGTGGGAAGGGGGAGTGCAAGTGCTGCGAGATGTTTCTCGGTTACTGCTTTGTATCGGGAGGAAAGCTCCTGGCAGCCTATTTGGGACTGCAGCTGTAGTGCTGCTGGGGTGATGTGAACACAGGAGCTCTGTTCCTGATGAGAAATGGGAAGGAACACGGCAGATAAGAAATGTATCACCACTAATTGTTTTGGCTATGTGCAAATATCCAGCAGGTATCAAAGTTGTAGTTACTTTCCTTTTTGAAAAGGATCTTAAGTATTGAGTGGGTGCGTGTCCTAATGCTTCACTCCAGAAGTTACAGTGCAGGTAAGACCTAAAGGGAGTTGATGGGAAAAGCTGATTACTTCTAGGAAAAAAAAGTGCCAAGTAATTGGGGTTCTTAAAATGTGGTTGTTTTATGCACACCCCCTTCCTGGCTGCCTTTCTTCTTTCTCGCAGTCCTTCTGAGAACTTGTTTTACTAGCATTCTGGTGTTGGGGCACAATGGATATAACAGCAAATGAACCCTGTCCTATATGCTCACCTATTTAGCGCATGGAAGGTGGGAAGAGGTTGGGCATGGAGGCAAGGCATTGGGTCATGCCTCTGGTATTTTGAACTGGGAAAATAGATATCTTGTGATCTGAATATACACACATTCAGAATATGAACATGCATAAGGACAGTCTTATGTAGCTAGAACCATGACACAGCCCTCCAGGACATGTGATTTTGTATGTCTGAACCTGGAGAAAGCAAAGAAAGTTGAAAGAAGCAGAGATTGACGTTTCATGTTCAAGGACATTGTTTTGAATTTTACAATTGGTACAAAGATGCAGCATTTTACCTCCTGGTAAAACTCTAGAATGCACGTTTTTGTAGAAGTAGAAAGTATTTACATGATTTGTACAATAGCTATTTTAATTAGTGTTTAGTTCAAGTTTATAAGTCTTAATGCACATTGGGAACTAGTTTGATATTAATGGTTCCTGTCCACATTTTGTCACACACTTCTGCTGTCTCTCAAACAGGATCAGTATGGGAACTATGTTATCCAGCATGTACTAGAACATGGTCGGCCTGAGGATAAGAGCAAGATTGTAGCAGAAATTAGAGGCAACGTGCTCGTGTTGAGTCAACATAAATTTGCTAGGTATGAATTTGTTCCTTGAAGTCTCCACGCCCTGTGGGAGCATGGACACGTGCTAGAGTTGCAGAAGAGTTAAGGGTGGGGTGTAGGCAGGTGAAAGGAGGTGAAAATAACTTTTTGCTTAACAACAGAAGGCTATTTATAACTGCTTGTAAAGTGGGATGAGTGACTGGCAAGGTAAGTTTAACTTGTGAAGGAGGATGAAGATGTGGAAGAGTAGCTCTCGTCCAAGTTCCTGAACCTTGACCAAGAGTTTTTGTGTGTGTTGTGGGGGTTTTTTTTCATTTTGTTTTGGTGTTTTTTTAAAGTGGTCACTATCCCTCGGATAATAACATGCCGTAAGAGCGTTTCACCGCGCCTGGGATGCTGTGTCAAGCCACAAGGGAATTTGGGAAATCAGTGTAGCAACAATTCTTTTTCATCCTACTTTTCAGAGAAGAATCTGGGCTTTTTATATGCTAAGTCTTGTGGTCCTTTTTGAGACACATGCATAATGATATTCTCTTAAGGGAAGCTGCAGCAGTCTGAGGTTGTTAGTCCAGATGCTACAGAGCTACTCATAGGTAGAAGCAAAATCCAGGTACCTTAGTGGATGTCAAGGCACAGTAATACTTCCCACATTTGCAGATTCTTTTTTGTGTGTGTTTCTAGGCATTTGAACATGAAGGCTGAGCTCTTCAAAGGCTCAGTGTCACCCCCTTTTTATGATTAGTAAAATGGTGCTTTAATACTTATGGACACAAGGGAGGTGTAACATTAACAAGAATTAGAAGAGTGTGATCTTAATGTTGTTATTTCAGATTCAACCTCCCTGACTTGCCTTGCACTTTTTTCCTAAACTTCTTTCCAGATGGAGCGTTAATTAGTGTAGGATATCCCCTGAGCTGAGCACTAGTTGTGGCAAATCACTTGGTGATTTCATGATTCAGTCAGGGATACGGAAGATAAGACTAGCAAAACTCTTCATCCCCTTTCATATATCCTATTTAACTTGGCTCTCCGGAGAGCAGAGACTAGTCATCTAATATATTCAGGAATTTTGGAAGTTCTCTGCCTTTGCTAAGATCTTTTCGTTCCTGAGTAAGCATTTCCCTGTTGTTCTAACCTTGGACCTCTCTTCCCGTTGAGCTCCAGTACTGAGAAAACCAAACAAAGAACAACTCATCAGCTTCTCTAATAGGCACGTTATGAGAACAGACACTGATCTCAAATATAGCATTGTTGCAGAGTTGCACAAATTTGGGTGAAATAAAACCTGAACTGGTCCTTTACCCAAATTCCCACTCAGATCCCAAGTTCCTTGGACTGCTCTTCTGTTTCACGTTGCTGAACTTCTGTGCCAGCACATATGTCTCTCCCAAATGGTCTGCTCTTGCTAGATGCATAAGAGATCTCCTTGGGGTTGAATGAAAAGCCCAGTAGATATGTTGTGTGCTCACAGATTGTCCTTCTTTTATTGTTACAGCAACGTGGTGGAGAAATGTGTTACTCATGCCTCCCGTACGGAGCGTGCCATGTTGATCGATGAGGTGTGCACTATGAATGATGGCCCTCACAGTGCCTTATACACCATGATGAAAGATCAGTACGCCAACTACGTGGTACAGAAGATGATCGATGTGGCAGAACCAGCTCAGCGGAAGATTGTCATGCACAAGGTAAGCAGCTGCTGTCGATTGATAAGGATATAAGGCTTGTGACTGCCACACTGGTTGCGGAGAGAAAATAAGGCTGAGATGATTGCTTTTGCCATTAGAATTTCCTAACAATGGAGGTATTTCAAAGTTGCGTATTTCAGTAGTAGCTGAAATATGAAAATGTGAAATAACAAGATGCCATTTAGACTTAAAACTAGCTGGTTGCTTATAGCAATCTCTTCTGACCTAGTAACCTAGTTCTGCATTTGTGGTGTAGCAAATGCTGTTAAAAACCACCAAGACTTACTGCAGCAGTGCCATTGGGTTGGTGCCTTGCGAGGGTCCTCTGAAGGTCTGGCAATGATGACACACTTGCCCTCACTGAGAACAGTGTTCGCTGATGAGAGCAGTTTAATGCGCTCAGTGGAGCCGAGCCAGACCTCCATACACCTGAAGCCCGGGTGTAGACCTGCTGGTTGCTTTTCTGAGGGCTGCTAACGCTGCCTTGTCACTTCGCATCCCTGCTTTACAGCCCTGATCAGGACAGTCAGGTTGGCTGGTAACACCGCGCTAACAGGGCATGTTGCTGTAGCGTCTGAGCCTGGAGCCATTAATCAAATTCTCTGTTTCTCAGTTTTGAGTACGGTTTTGATGAGAGACTTCCACGGTTTAGCATTATGCTGCAGCATTTGCATGCGTAACAGTTTCAGGACTTAATATTTGTCAAAAATGAAGACATTTTGGAATTAAATATGCATTAAATATGCATTGCTGCCAGTCCTGCCTTCCAAGGCTATATGCCTGCTGCCCCATGGGCAGGAAGCTCTAAAAATCAGGTGATGTCTTCATTTTTCTGCTTTTAAAGGTCACGTTTGAGGGTCTTTATAATTGTAATGAATGGAAAAAAATATGCTTTTACATGTGTAGTGGAACTGAGATTATTTTCTTCAGTCACATGTTTTGGAGTCTGTTACTTTGTGAAAAATAACCAGCTACAGCTAGACCTCTTATTAGAAATAAAATACTAACACTGACTTGGAAACCCCCATATTTAGTTATTTTTAAGAGAAACTGTGAAGAGTGTCAGGTATTCAAATCCCAGTGAAATCAAGTGTATTTAAGAATCCTTGAGTAAAATGGACCAAGTGATTTTTCTGTAAAAAGAAGTGGGTATTATCTGTGTAAGGGAGAAGATTTTTACCTACATGAGGCCGTTGATCAGTATGTAAACAACATACATGCAGCTGAAATGATCTTCGGGGAGGTTAATTCTCAGGTTTAAGAATCATTCAGAGTAGTTCTTTTAAACCAAACTCTGTATTAGTACAAAAGAAATTACAAAGATAATTAAATAAAAATGTATGGCAAGGGATATACACAGTTTACTTGTAGCAGAATGACCTGTAGCTTTGCTAATCTATGTAGAGAGGTATATATTAAAAAAATATATATACCAGTGATTATGAAAAAAAATATATATACCAATGATCTTTACTGACATGTTCTTTTTCCTGTCAAGCAAAGTCTTTTGAATAAAATGCTAATTAGGTTATCAGTGTGGTTGTCAAAAATAGAACTGGGATGACAGCTAAATAGGACTGACTGAATATGAAGATTTCAGCTATGTTATCAAGCTGGATGAAAGCCTGGGAAAATTGAATGTATTGACTGTTGCTTTTGGATTGTGAAAATTGCTATTAGTACAAACAAGCAGTTTGTGTTACTGTTAAAGACAGCAGTTTCATTTAAAAAAAAATAAAATATTGAAAAGTAATTTTAACAGTCAGTTCAAAAAAAAAAAAAAAAAGAAGTCTTAGAAATGAAGACGAACAAAGAGCAACTGTTGGACCTGCAGAGCTTTACCTCTCCTTAACCTCAGAGCAGCAGTCAGACCTTCTTGGAAATGGGATGTGGGGAGGGCCGAGGTGTCAATTTATGATTATTACAGGATGGGTCCTTGAAGTGAAATAGGAATTTAAACAGCTAGAGGCTGAGCTGATGAAATACGATGAGTTTGAGATGGATTTCCCATGGGAGTTTTATGGTCAGTCCTGGCTTAGGCAAGTAATGGTGATGTAGCCACTGGAGGAGCAGGGAGTGCTGTACATCATGGTCTGTGTATTTTCTCATCCTGTCTACAGCTTCCACTTGTAGAATGAAAAGTCCATTGTAATTGCGTTATTGAAGGAATGTGCTGGTGGTGTGGGATATTTCTCATCTAGTAATGAAAATGAATTGCTCTTATGCCTTGTTCCTCTGAAACTGTCCAGGAGAACTTCAGCAGCATAATGATGTTACTACAACCAAAACAGCTTTCTGTGTTTGGCTGCTCTGGCAGTAAAGGTGGTTTTAGCCTGGCTAGAGTAATTACAGTGGTGTTGGAAGTGACTTTTACTCTGAAGTAGTGTGAGTGAGTGAAGTTTGCTTCCAGAGAGGTCTTTTCTGCTTAAAATAAATATTTTAATTGTCAGGTTCAGAAATTAAACTGCTGTTCAGCCCAGGAATACTGCTTGCCTCTCCCAGTAGCTCTTTCAAATATACTGCTGAAATTCATACCAGCCACTCTTTCAGGCTTTTAGCATTTTGAAGTTCAGCCTGTAGCCTGGAAGGAGGCAGAAGACCCTGCTCATGTTTAGGAACAGCTGCTCAGCCTCACTAGACCCTTCTGATGCCTTTACTGCCTTAGTGTGTTTGCCCTTGGGCTGGGGGCAGAGTGTCAGGGCACCCTTGGGAAGGTCGAGTACCCAGGGGTCCTGTCTTTCCACCCTCCTCTCTTGGGACAAAGCCTTATATCCGTCTACATGCTCAGATCTAACTGGATTCCAGTAATATGGCTCAAGACGATGCCACCTGCTTGACCAGAAGTTCCTCCTAAAAATAACATCAGTGACTTATGGAACGTTAACTTGATTCACAGTGATTGATGTGATTACAGTAAATGGCACTTCAATATTTCAGGCATTTTTGTGGTCTTCTGCTGCTGGCCAGCACTCTGACTGTTAGGTACCCAGAGCTCGCTCAGGTCTGATGTGGCCATAATTCGGGTTCCAAAGCTTCACTCACTCTTCTTTTATCTCCTAGATCCGGCCTCACATCGCTACCCTGCGTAAATACACCTATGGCAAACACATTTTGGCCAAGCTGGAGAAATACTACATGAAGAACGGGGTGGACCTAGGGCCCATCTGTGGACCCCCAAACGGTATCATTTGAGGCAGCAAACTGGGAAGGAGCTCACTGGCCATCCGGCATCTACAACCAGCAACCGACAATATTCCAGTATAGAAAATGTTTTATGGTTGCTAGACTGCTAAAAAAGAAAAAAGAAAAGCCTTTGTAAATTTCTTTAATTTTATTATGCATAACATGTACTAATTATTTTTTTTAATTAACTAATTGCCCTGCTGTTTTACTGGTGTATAGAATACTTGTACATAGGTATCAAATGTACATGGAAGGCCACATTTTTGTTCACTGTTGTATCTATATTCCAAATGTGGAAACTTTCAGGGTGGTTGGTTTGAAGAAAAAAAAAAACAACAAAAAAAGTTTTTAATTCATCTGCCTTGCAGGCAACTTTTTTGCAAATACCTGTTTTTTCTCCTTTTAGTCAAAAGTCAGCAAGAAGTTTGAATTTTAGTTAAATGGCACAAAGGACGCATTTAACGCTGTTTATAAATATAAAAAAAAAATTCAACTTGCTAAAGCTTCAGTTTAAAAGAGGAATTAAGTTTTTGAAACTTTTTAATTGCTTTTTTTTTTTTTTTTTAAGTATAACATGCTAAAGGAGGTAGCTTAGCTGTCGTTTTTGGGAAGAAAACGTACACACCCAGAAAGTTTTTAAAGCGAGGGAGTGGGGGGCAGGTGTACTTGTTTACTGCCTACTCAGTTTGTTCTGTTAACATTGAGAGACACAATTTGATTATTTAGCATGAGGAAAAAAAAAAATCCAACTCGGCTTTGGTCTTGCTTCTATAAATATATAGTGTATACTTGGTGTAGACTTTACATATATAAAAATTTGTAGTATTTTCTTGTTTTGATGTCTGATCTGTATCTATAATGTACCCTAGTAGTGGAACATACTTCTGACTGTACAATTGTACATTTGTAAACCTCTGTAATGTAAATGTGGAGAAGTTTGAATCGACATAAACCCGTTTTTTGGTAAGAAAAAAGAATTAGCAAAACCTGTGCATTTCAGTGTATATTCACACCTTTTATGGTCGTAGCATATAGTGTTGTATATTGTAAATTGTAATTTCAACCAGAAGTAAATTTTTTCTTTTGAAGGAAATGTTCTCTTTATACAGCCTAGTTAATGTTTAAAAAAAAAAAAATAAATGCTTGGTTTTATTTGTCACCTAGTTGAACAGTAGCGATCCTTTCTAAATGTTATACAAAAATGATTCAGTTCAAAATAGTGTTTTTTTGAATCTTAAAAAGTAATGTTTTGCTTATTTTGTGACAGTAAGAAACAAGAAGTGCAAAAGTACAGAATCCCCTAGTTTTCCTTACAATCAGAGTCCCTTTTCACCTTGTAAAGTGTGAATCACCTTCCCTTTTTGTACAGAAGATGAACTGTATTTTGCATTTTGTCTACTTGTAAGTGAATGTAACATACTGTCAATTTTCCTTGTTTGAATATAGAATTGTAACACTACACGGTGTACATTTACAGAGCCTTGTGTATATTTCCAATGAACTTTTTTGCAAGCACACTTGTAACCATATGTGTATAATTAACAAACCTGTGTATGCTTATGCCTTGGCGACTATTTTTTGTAACTCTTGTGTAGATTGTCTCTAAACAACGTGTGATCTTTATTTTGAAAAATACAGAACTTTGGAATCTGGCTTTGTGTTTACTTTGAACACCTTCAGAAGAGTGTGCCACCCCCACAACTTTTTCCCTCTCTTTTATTTAAGAGCAGCCTTCCTGCGTCAGCCGAGGGTGGCTGTGTCTGCTCTGAGCAGCAGGTGACACATGGAAAATGAAGCGCAGAGCAACCACGTATGTATCTCTGCATCCCACTGTTGCCATCCCTCCTCTGGGGGTCTGGGATTTTGGCTTCCCCCCGCCCCCCTTTGAGCACATCTAAACCTTTTCAGAGCCTGAACAAACTCATAGCACCCACAGCCTCTGTCCTCTGGCAGTGAGTTGGAGGTGAACAACCACCACGTGTGTCTCGGTCATTTTAAGCACTGCAGCTCTTGCAGAGAGGGGCAGGGAATAACTTTCCCTGGTCCGTCTCATCTGCTTGTGGTTTCCTCTGCAGCTTTCATCCCCCCATCCCTCCTGCCCTCTCTGCCGGCTGGGGTTGGTCCACGGAGTTGATGGTTTTGCAGAAGCTGTTTGTATCCTCGTCATCTTCACTTTTTGGGGTGTGGGGGGGAAAGGTGCTGGGAGGGGACTGGGGAGCCGCACCTGGCAGTCGAGGTGGGGATGCCCCAGCAGTACTGAGTGCTGCGATGTTTTCTAGTTCATTGAGAACTGCTAGAAAAGAAAAGCAAGCGCTTGGCTTGTGTTTCCATGGAGGATTTTTCCTGCCACAGGCTCTCCTTCACCTCAGAGTCCAGCGCTGGGTGAGCAAAGTTAGGACTGTCCTGCTCACCCGCATCACGTCCCACCCCTACCCCCAGTTCATCGTCCTTTATTCCCCCAGTTCCCTTGTCTCGGGGAAGCTCCAGCTCTGCATTTCATCCCCTGTGCCACTGCACAGGACTCCACGTGTGACCCTTGCTCGTGGAGAAAATTGGCCTCTTCTTCCCACCAGTTTTTCTCCATTTACCAGTGTCCAGAACAGCTGCTGCTTCGAAAGACCCTTTTCTGAAGGTTGTCATCAGAATCGTGGGAAATCCCGATAAGTTTGAGCACTTGTGCAAATAGGGTGACTTGTGATAAATCCATGGAGAGGAAGAAACTTCCCATTTTACAGGAAATCAGTTTTTTTAGCTTAGCGCATTAAAATGTTTGATTTCAGAGTATGTGTTAAATTACTGATCATTCCTACGCTGCCACTTTCTTCTTCTCACCCCTCAACAAAAACCAATACCCCTGTGACCCAACAGTGGTTTTAATCAGTTTTCACACCTGTTAAATTTAGCGAAGAGAGCTGACTTGGGCTCTCTGACACCTTTTTTGCCCTGGGTTTGAAGCCAGCCTTCGCCTCTTGCAATAAGCAACGGCCATCGCACCGAGCCACGAGGGTTATGGGAGCACTTGGGTCCCACGTCCTGGAGTCTTTGGAGCTCTTACAGCATTTTGAGCTCTTTAACACTTCATTTAAAGCACAGTGCTTGAGCAGCTCAGTGAGGCAGCAGCAAGGCTGTGGATTTGGGGCAGAATGTGGTGAAAGCAAGGGATATATTTTCTTTCTAATTTAACTTCACATGGAGCATCTATCTTGGTTTTGAGAGCGGGGTGAGAGCCCAGGCTCCGTGTTTCTTCTTCTGGACACCCGTGGGTCCAGGGTTAACCCCGGGCACCCTTCGCACCGCAGCAGCAAAGGTGTTGGGGAGTGGGTTTGGCTCTTGCCCAGACCCGCAAACTCCTGCTCAGGGAGAAGGCTCAGCCCAGCAGTACCTGAGCACCGGCATGGCGGGGGCTGAGCCTGGGCAACCCCCCCACGGCCAGCAGTGTTGGCCCTGCCGGGGTAAGGGAAGGGGCACGGCGGGGGCTTGCCGGGAAGAGCACAGCCAGGTCACCCCGTGCAGGCCCTTCTTTGGATATTCCTGAGCGTGGCTGCTGGAGAAGGGATGTGAAGGGATCCGTCACGTCAGCTGGGGACCGTCAAAACACCCAGGGTCCGTCATGACACCCAGGATCCGTCACGACATCCAGGGTCCGTCATGACACCCAGGATCCGTCACGACATCCAGGGTCCCTCCCATCGGCCAGGGTCCATCCCGACAGAACAAGACCTCCCGCTTCCAGTGAGGCCGCAGCGGGCTCCAAAAGGTCCCCCCCGCCGACCCCCTCCCGTGGGACCCCGACTCTCGTATACAGGTCCCGCCACGCGTGAGGGGCCACCTCTCTGGTGACAACCCCTTGGAGGGGGGGGACACCAGCCGGGACTTTGGCCTCCCCGCTCCAT